GATAGATAGATAGATAGATAGATAGATAGATAGATAGATAGATAGATAGATAGATAGATCCATAAACTATATAGACATAAATAAAAAATAGATAGAAAACAGATTGATAGCGAGAAAAAGGATAAACCCATGAATAGATAGATAGATATATAGATAGATAGATAGATAGATAGATAGATAGATAGATAGATAGATAGATAATTGGGATGGATACAGATAAATCCATAACTTTAGAGATATATATCAATAGATTGATAGACATATACTTATTGGACTGATATATAAAATAGAGATAGAAAAAATACATAGATATATAGATGAAAGGTAGATATGGATAGAGATAGATAGATAGATAGATAGATAGATAGATAGATAGATAGATAGATAGATAGATGGACAGAGTTTGATAGAGAGTAGGGATGGATAGACAGATAAATCCATAACTTTAGAAATATAGGATAAAAATAAACATATAGAATAAGATTGATAGACATATAGGTATTGGACTGATATATAGAGATAGAAATGCCCATAGATATATAGATGAAAGGTAGATATGGATAGAGGTAGATAGATCAGAGAGAGAATACATTCCGATAGGTTAGGTAGTGGTTAGAAGTCAGATAATGTCAAAGTTCTGAGCTGTGTATATGGCTGTGAACTAGTCAGTATCAGTAGGATTTGCCGACGTTTCCAGGCTTGTGTTCTGGTGAAGATGGATGTGGGTGATAGGGGTCTCTCCTTGGCAGGTGATGGTATCTGTCATTGTGTGGTCAGTGGTGGCACATGGGAACACAAGCAGGCTGCTATTGGCCACGTTGTTTAATAAATCAGTGTAATGGATCAGTATGGAGCACATTAAACGCCTGCCTTCTGCTGACGTTGGGGGCACATCTCTCACTTTCTAATGTGACTCCGAGTGTAACGAAACGTAATGTGATCGCAGCACTTCTATCTTTAGAAAACAAACTCAATTAAGGTAATAAATTAAAGATAATTAGCCTGCAAACCTGTCTATATAGTAAAAAGGTAGCCCAGACATAGAGCCCTTTCCCTGATGCCAAGATAGTAATGGCATGGTCATTGAACCCCTGACTAAAATGTAGTGGGGGATAGGTGAGGAGTTTACTATTTAGTGCACTGTAGTCAAATGGCAGAAAATGTCTGTATTTAGTGTTGCTATGCCTGTAGAAGAATAGAATAGGTCGCTTTCTTATGATAAGAGAACATGGAACAAGTGACCAGTTTAATAGCACAATAACCTGCGAGTCCATTGTGCCAATCACACAACAATGTTCCTATGAAACACGTCCATGTGTATTAAACTCCTATCTGCAGAACGCCTTCAAGCAGCTTTTAGAGAGCAGCAGAACACTATATTATCCAATAAGAAACGCCAGCCATGATTAAAGCAAAATAAAACTGTTGTTGCCATTGGACTATAAGCCAATTTTCACTTGTATTATTTTACTTCTTCAGCGCCTTATCTATACGAAGCCCCTAAATCCCATTCACTTCCATGCTCTGAACAGGCTCATTTCTATATACAAAATGCATGTTATCAGCAAACAATTTGGCACCTAGTAGTATCTGCATAGGGAGGAGCTTTGTGCTAATACACTGAGAAAGGTATTAGGCAGAATAAAGGCTCATTGCAGGAACTGCACCTTATCAGTCACAGCTTCGTGTCAGCCACACAGAAATATTTAGCTATAGTCGTCATGGAATTTCCATCTATGTACAGAGAGAGTCGCTTTCACCGCACAGACAGTAATGGAGATTTGAACACCGAGATGCCTAAATCCTAATTCGTCTAGACATATAGGGATTTCATTGAATGAATGATTACAAGTAATTTGTATAGTAAAACATACGTGTGTGTGTGTGTAAAAAGGAAGTAAAAGATGGAAGAAAATGGAAAGAGTGA